CGATATGATTACCCTGCCCAGTGGCGAAAGTTGCCACCTAACAGGTTTTGTTTTTTTTTTTTTTTTTTTTTTGCGCCTAGTGGCGAGGCTCGTCACGCGCGCAATTTCTAACGGCAATTACTGTAGCCTTACAGTGACGCTGAGTTTGTTCTGCCACTGGTTCGGATTTTTTTTTTTGTCAAATCGCGACTGGCTTCTTTAACTACGCGAATTACGAGGGCCTGTTCTAAATTACCAGTTTCATTGAGTTTCACCGATTAGTTGGTTATGCAAATTGCAAAAAGCGAATCGATGAGTTTTCGGACTTGTAGTTCCGAAGAATATGATGCAACACGTGCAATGATTCGATGATATACAACACGCTCCGATATGCTTGAAAATTAATTCACAAATTGCAATCTTGCTGGGCAGTTTCTGATGGAAACAAGAAAATAGATGGAACTTACTTCAGAGTTGTGTCATTTGTTGTGATTGAAGATTCTCAAACAAACTGCCAAGCTCACCATTTTTGCCACTTGTTTCTTGCTGGAACAGTGGCGAGCTCGTTTCTAGTGGCGCATTAACACCAAATTAGAACCAAATTAATATGCTTTGAGTTGAGAATTAGAAAAACAATGCGATAGAAATCAATTATCGGCAATCGGGCAGTTTCGGGCAGTTTCTAACTGAACATTATATGAACCTTATAAACGGTCGAATATCGGAACTGTCGAAAACGTAACTGTCACAAGCAGTTATTTTTGGCGAGTAACGCCTGTGGCCAACCGTTTTGCTGTCATATTAAATTCGGCAGCTGTTAATTTTGTCAATAGGCGAACTTAGGTTCTTCTTGCTCCCGATTGGACGAATTGCACAACATTGGCAGCAGAGTACGCCAGTGGACGAAAAATGACTATCAAGTGACGAAATTTATTTTGCTTGACCTAGCAAGTGATTTTGTTTGCTGTATTTAGTTTAACCGTTTCTGGCCATAAATTTGCTCGATTTGGTTATGGACTGTTTCTAGTACGTATCATCCCACGAAGTGTCATCCGAGAAATGTTGGAAACTCTAACTGTTATTTCGAAACCTCAACGTTTGAGATGGGTTTTCAACATTCTCGGATGACACTTTTTCACAATGACACTAATAAAAACAAGCCCTAAGACTTTCAGCACAGTTTTGTACAATCGGGCAGAGGTGAGGTTTTTTGGACAATCCAACTCAAGGTGGTTCCATTCGTTCTAGTCTACCTTTCTTGTTTCTTTCCAACTCTCAACCTTCCTAGTTCAACTTTGCTTCCCCAAGCATCTTAGCTCTAGAATTCCAAGTTCTCCAAGCATTATAGCTCAACCATTCCAAGTTCTCCAAGCATCCAAGCTCAACCGTTCCAAGAACTCTAGCAAGACCTTATCTCATCAGTAAGCGCCCATAACTCATGGAATTCACATGTGGACGTTTTCCTACTGATTTTTTGTTCTCTGTTAACAGAAACTTAACATTCTTTACTATTTTCTGCAGGATCCTTCCGAGTTCGTTTGGCTCAGCTCTCTGCCCACGCGCCCATTCAAACTCTAGGTAAGCTGCTATGTTCATTACCAGCTGAACTTATTATTATTTTTTCCATGTTAGTTGAATTTGAAGTGCACAAACTAATTTGAGGCAATTCGCTTTCGAATCTGCCTGACCCAGCAGTCTGGTAATTGACCGTTTCAAGGTGCCATCCTACTTGTCTCAATTCCCTCTTTCCAAAACTTCATTTGTTCGATGGTGTGTTTATTTTTCCTTATGATAATTGGCAGAATCGCGATTCGTGTCATCTGGCGCACCTGCGTGCAGCTTTAGGATACTGGTGAGTGTCGGAGATCGACTCTCACAAACTGCACCCTATTTCCTAGCTTGTTGAATGATCTGCACATGTCAGATAAATCTTTTTTTGTTCATGTTATTCTCGCCACGTCCAATCTAGTTGGTGGCTTCGGTTGGAAAGGGCAACTGTCCGGGTTCGATACTTGCCAGATTCTCAAGCAGTGTGTTTCTGTTTTTTATTGGCAGAAGTGGGATTGGTGTCATTGGCGCAGCTGTATGCAGCTTTAGGATCCTCGTGAGTTTCGAAGATCGATTCTCACGAATTGTACCCTACTTCCAAGCTCGTTGAATGATTTGTAAACGTTAATTCAAATTTATTTGTTCACCCAATGTAAGTTACGTTTAGTCTAATGGGTAGCTTTTTCTGGGAAGGGTGCGTATCCAGGTTCGATGCTCGCTGGCATCATTTTTTTTTTTTTTCTGGTTCCTCTGTTTGTTGTATGCGAATTTCATATCTTTCTAATATTGGGACTAGGGTGGTCACAAAGGTTCAATACGCATTGTCACCTAATATGTGCTGCTTTTTCTATATTTGTAATTTTCTTTATACTTATTGGCAGACTCACGATTCGTCTCATCTGATGCAGCTGCGTGCAGCTTTAGGATCCTGGTGAGTGTCGAAGATCGATTCTCATGAACTGCACCCTATTTCAAGCTTGTTGAATGATCTGTTAATTTAATTTAAATTTAATTGTTCACTACATGTAAGCTACGTCTAGTCTAGTGGATAGCTTCAGTTGGGAAAGGAATGATCCAGGTTCACTACTTACTGGCATCATATTTTCTTTTCTGGTTTCTTTGTTTTCTGTATGCGAATTTCGTTTCATTCAAACATTGGGACTAGGGTGGTCACTCGGGTTCAACACACATTGTCACCTAATATGTGCCGCTTTTCTATATTTTGTTATATTGTTTGTACTATTTGATTTTTTTTTAATTTACTACACATCTTGAAGTTCTTCGTTTAGCAGCTCTTCATCTGGTTGGTAAGGTGATCTCTTGTTGATTCCCACTGCCCCTCAAAATTGTGTCTGTTTTGTCTGTTTTTCAATACTATTTTGTTATTTAGCAACTGTTGTGTTTGTTCGCCTAGTTGTTTTGTGTCCGACAGGGTTCGTTGCTGCAACCACCCGGGTTCGATACCCACTGAACTCCTTTTACTTTGTTTCCAATTTTCTTGAGTTGTTTTTCCTTTGTGAATATTATGTGCAGCCAATTTCTTCTGTTCTAAAGACCAGCGGATCACTGCGTTCATTGGCTTGGTGAGCAGAAGGCTTTGATACCCTTGTTTTTTTTTTTTTTTTTTTTTTTTTTTTTTTTGGACTGTTTTCTCCTCTGTTTTCTGCTGTTGTTTGTCCGATTGAGTTTCATTCAGTTTTATGTCCACATGAAGTGCAGATTGTTGACTTGTTTGACCGAGCGGTTTGCTCGATCGAGTTTGGCTTATGTAATTACCTGGTTTCGATACTTGTCACCTAATAAGCTCTAGTTTTCACTTTTCTTCTGCAATTTGTTCTATCTGAATTTTGTTACATTTTATGCTTATATCACATGTAGGTTGTTCTGTGGTTCAGCGGTCTGCTCAATTGTGTGTCTCTGGCAAGGTGAGCACCTATAACGATGTCTTCCGTGTTTCGTTTTGCTCTCTTTTTTTTCTTCGTCTTCTTGTTTTCTACTGTTTGTTTGATGTGAGCGTAATCTTGTTATGGGTGAACGTTTAGTGCAGACTATTTCTTGAGTTCTTATTATTTAGCGGTCTGCTCGATGGGATGTGAGTCAAGATCACCTGGGTTTGATACCTCTGGCAACTGATATGGTGTTTCCCTCTGTTTTCTTCTGTTATATGTTATGCGTGATTTCTTTTGTGTTTTATGATATTTTGTACAGGGTGCGTTTCGGGTCCTCTGGGTCATCGGTTTTTGTACAAGCTCAATGTCAGGGTTCGAAACCCATCGCTTTTAATGTACGTTTTACTTTGTTTTCTTCTGTTGTTTGTTCTATGTGAGTTTCATTCTATTTCTTCCTTACTTCTAGATTTCGTATAGGATGTCTCTTGACTTTGTGCGGCTTAGCTGTTGTCATTTGTCTGTTTGGCTGCCAAGGTGGTTTAGTTTCGATATCCATTGTCACCGAACATGTAGGGTTTTAGTGTTCAGGAAATATTTGATACCCACTGTCACTAATTCGACGGTACGTAAATTCTTGTTTCCCCAATTGTGCAGTCCCTAGAGCAGCAAGTGCGGCTCTCGCTTTAAACTACTGATTTTTCGTTTCTTCAGGAGAGGCGTTGGTCGTATCCTCGAGATGCCTCCGAAACGGAAAAGCGAATCTGCAAGGGAGAGGTTTAAGAGGGAGGCTGAAAATAAGAAGAGAAAGAGTGAATATTATGCGAAGGGATGGACGGGGATATTGCGAGGCGGAAACTTACTACTAGGTGGGGGTAGGGTGCTGATGAAGGGACGAGTCATACGTTTAATGAGACATAGGGATTTTTGAAATCTGACAGAGGAAGAGCGTGCAAGTTATACGCTTCCAAATGGTGACAAAATTGAGCCGACTAATAGAGACGACATCACGAACGATGCACATCGGAGCCTATTGTGATAAATAACAAGTGGTATCTGTTGGTGCAACCCTATGGCTTGCACTCGGCTTGTCGTCCTTGTTTGTGTGTGTGCATGCATGGCATGGAATGAATTGTGAGTCTATGTCATTGCTATCCAGTGCTTGTGTGTGTGTTTGAATGGTGTATCACAATGTGGTTTGTGTCGGTCAAGACATTAGCGAGTTTTTACAAATCGCATGTCAAGTCGTCGTTTGTGTGTCGCATGTGTTATTTCTATTTTGTCGAGTGTGAAGTGTCCATCGTGTTGCAGGTGTGTGCAGCAAGCCCCCATCAACTCAAGAATAATTTATCTTGCAGAACCAAGACCAAGAGCTCAATATTTCAAGCCCAAGGGACGCGGATAAATATTAAATAGTGGAAATAGTAACGCTACTTCGTCTAGTGTTACATTTCACTTGGTGTAGCCCCTTAGAGGGTTGGTTTCGAGACTCTTTGTGGTTTGGGACCCTGTGGTGGTGTACCACCAACCTGGACCTCGGCTCTTGGGGTATGTAGAGGCTGGGAACCATCTCCCTCTCGAATTCTTCTTCCTAAGTTTTTTTGTACTCCTAAGACTATAGTGGCTGCTGTACCTCCTGCCAGTCAAACTGCCATAGCGTCGTCAAATCTTCATGGAATTTCATGATTCAACTTGCTGCTGATAGACGACAGCATTGCGCTCCAGATCCAATTTACAGATCACCATTAAAGTCAGCGAGCAGATCGTTATCAATATTTGAAGCCGTCTGACGGAAATCCGACTGTGCTCTCTATCTCTCATTATTGGCACATCTGAGCCTATTGTGACTATAACAAGTGGTATCAGAGCCCCTTGGAGCTGTCTCGACCATGCCTAGGCCTGAGGAAGGGGGTGGCAGAGGTGCTGGAGGCAGAGAAGCTGCCCAAGCACAAGGCCAACACCAAGATCCACCCGTTGCTCCGGTGCAACCTAGACTTGGACCCTCTAGGGGTGAGCCTAGAGTGTTTGGCCTTGACAAGTTCAACGGTGACAACTTTGCTGAGTGGTCTTTCAAGATGGAGAACATCTTTGACCACTATGATCTGCTGGAGGTGATGGAAGGAACGGAGAAGCGCCCCGAGAACGACCCGGAGAAGAGCCCGTGGGTGCGGAAGAGCGCACAAGGCTACCTTCTACTTGGGCAAGCGTTGGGGAGCAGCCAAATCCGTCACATCAAGCCTTTTCAGCGTGAACCAGCAAAGGGACCAAAGGCATGGGCTGCTCTCAAGGGTGTACACGCTCCTGCAACAGCGGCGGTGGCTGTGGTTTTGGAGCGGCAAATGGCGGCACTTTGAATTGACGAAGGTGAATCGGGGGAGGAAGGAGTGCAGAAATTCTTCGACTTGTTGACATGCCTCGAAGGAGCTGATCTGAACTACAGTGACCTTCAAAAGAAGACCAAGCTGCTGGCCTTACTTCCAGACTCATGGTCCTCGCTCATCATCAACCTAAATCGAGATCTGCCCCGACTCTCACTCGAAGATGTGAAGCGGGAAATCTTACAAGAAGATTTCCGCCGACGCGAATTGGCGGGTCCCGATGGTGCCGGAGTTGCAAGCATGGGCTGTGGGCACGGCCGTGGAAGGGGCAGAGGGCGAGGAGGCAGATTTGGGAGCAGTAACTTCAGTGGAGGCCGTGGTAATGGAGGATATGGCACAGCAACAACAACAACAATGGCTACGGGCGTGGGCGCGGTCGATTTGATGGCGAATGCCACTTTTGCCACAAGACCGGCCACATGTGGAGAGATTGCTTCAGATTGCCTGATGGATGGACCCCTTCTCAAGGCCAAGAGGGCAGAGGAGCAAGGGGAGGAAGAGGCAGAGGTCGTGGAGGCCGTGGTGGCCGTGTAGGTGAAGCGGCAAGCATGAAAGGTGGAGACTACGACAAGGACTCGAGTGAAGATCGATACCCGGGCCAATTCTTCTTTGTCTCCACGCAAGCGGCAGCTGCAGCAGGAGGTGTGGATGGCTTTAAGGAGCTAGCTACTGTGGGAAAGGTCACCCTTCACTCTCTGGACTTTTGGGTGATCGATAGCGGCGCCACCTATAGCATGACACCTCGTGCGGACTTGCTCACCGAACTCGAACCGTCGCCGGTCAAGCATGTTATATCGGCTTTGGGGCAGCGAGCAGAGGTGAAAGGCATGGGCAAGGCCATGTTCAAGGGTGCTGATGGGAAGATGGTGGGCCTCAAGAACGTGCTTTGGGTGCCCAATCTAGCAGCCAACCTGATCTCTGTTCGGCTTTTGCAAAAGGCCAGCATGGACACATCTTCCAAGGGCTCCAAAACATATACCGCGCGGCTTGGTGAGCGGAAGCTTTGGGACCTTCATGAGGACAGGGACATCTACAATGAGATGTGGCAAATCCCAGTGGTCCCCATGCCTAAGGAGAGGCAAGTGGCAGCAAGCATCAGCACCAAGATTGAAGCGGTTGGTGGGGTTGATCACGGAAAGCAAAGTGACACCAAGAGTGATTCGAAAGAGTGCAATCTTGGAGAGACCAGCAAGGCGTGTGAATCCAAGGAGAGTGGTGCAGCAGCCAAAGGTGGTGGAAATGAGGAGGAGAATCCTAAGATCAGTAAAGCAGCAGTGGCGAAGGAGAAAGGAGAGAGCTCGTGGGGCACAATTGCGAGTGCCGCTTTCTCCAACCTGACTTCCGCTATGGGAGAGTGTGATTGGCTGACCTTGCATCGGCGAATGGGGCATGTGGCATTGCCCATTTTGCAGCAGATAGTTAAGCAAGAGATGGTCAGTGGAATACGTGTCCAACATGCATGCAAGCCAAGTTCACTCGCTACCCGGTCCATAGCTCGGAGACAACGGCGAAGGCACCACTTGATGAGGTGGTGATGGATGTGGTGGGCCCCTTGAAGCTTGGAGCTGCTGGAGCAGAGTACTTCCTCACCATTGTGGACGTCTACACTCGCATGATGCTGCCCAAGAAGAGTGACGTAGCTGAAACGGTGAAGACCGATTGGTTGCCGATGGTGGAGCGGCAACAAGACCGACTTGTGAAGGCTATTTGCACTGACCGTGGGGGAGAGTTCCTGAGCAAGGATTTCTCAAATTGACTGAAGAAGCAGGGCATAAGGCACTCTCTTACCATGCCCTACTCTCCTGCAATGAACGGCATCGCCGAGCGTGCGAATCGGACACTCACGGAGACGGCTCGGGGACTTCTCATTGAAGCCGGTCTTCCCAATTATTTTTGGCCGGATGCGGTGCAGCATGCTTGTGTGGCCAAGAACAGAGCCTTGACTCATGTGGGAGAAGACAAATGGGTGCCCTATGTGGAGTGGATTGGAAGGAAGCCGAAGGTGGATATGCTTCGGATGTTCGGGGTGGCTTCTTTGGGACCCATTTACCAGGAAGTTCTTGGTGAGCAGAGATTGCAAGTTCATGGAGAACTTGGCGTACAAGGAGTGGAAGGCGGAGAATCAAGCGAAGATTGGTGTGCGGCTTGGAGAGGTGAAGAGTACCGGCTTGGAGCATGTGGAGCTGCCCTTGGAGCTGAGTAGCAGCAGCACAATCACGAGGCAATCTCCTCAAATGAATGGGGGTGAGGAGGAGGAGGAGGTGCAGCAAGATGATGAGCGTGCACCATCACTTCCGCCTCGTGCTACAAGTGCTCGTGGGAACCGACCAGATTTACCGCAACGCCATGAGAGCATTCAAGTCCCTGCAGCAGAGCAGGAAGGAAGGGGGAGAAGGAGGACTCAGCCCCCTAATAGGTTGAGCTATGACCGGCTTGGAGGACCAGCCAACTCAACCTTGACCGGTTCGGCTCTCATGCTAGGCGATGATGCGGAAGATGAAAGCGAGGAGTGCGCCTTTGCCTTCTTCTCTCCGGTGGAGATGCCGGGGGAGCCTACAAATCCCAATGAGGCTTGGGAGGGCCCCAATGGGAAGGAGTGGAAGAAGGCCTCAGATGAAGAAATGGGGAGCATCATAGAGAATGACACATTTGACTTGGTGAACCTACCTCCGGGGCGGAAGGCGATCTCTTCGAAGTGGCTCTTCAAGCGCAAGACCGACGCCGACGGCAACATCGAGCGCTACAAGAGCAGACTTGTAGCCAAGTGGTATCAGCAGCAAGAGAAGAAGGAGTACAATGAAGTGTATGCCCCTGTGGTGAAGGGTACAACCAGTCGAACCCTCTTCGCCGCGGCGGCCATCAAAGGATGGGTGGTGAAGCAAATGGATATAGTAACGGCCTTCCTCAACGGCGTTTTGGAGGAAGAGACTTACATGGAGCAGCCAGAGGGGTACAATGATGGGAGTGGCAGAGTGTGGAAGCTGAAGAAAGCACTCTATGGCCTCAAGCAAGCCCCTAGGCAATGGTACATCAAGCTGCGGGAAGTCTTGGAGGCGATCGGCTTCACTCCCTCAACGGCCGATCAATCCTTGTTCATGCTTGGCGAGGGGGAGCAGAGGAGCTTCATGGTGGTTTATGTGGATGACATCCTCATATTCTCACCCTCCTCTGACCTTGTGAAGGAGGTGATGCTGAAGTTTCAAGACAAGTTCAAGTGCAAGACCCTAGGTGACGTCAACTACTTCCTTGGGCTTCACATTGAGCGAGATGTGGAGAAGCGGTGGATGCGAGTGCATCAAAAGAAGTACTTGGAGGCATTGGCTGCAAACTTTGGGAAGAGTGAAGGTCATGTGGCTACTCCTCTTCCCTCAGGGTTCAAGTGTGTGAAAGGACCAGCGGAGGAAAGTGTTGGTGAAGAGGAGAGGCGCCGTTTTCATTCCTTGGTGGGCAGCCTCATGTATGCCGCCGTTCACACAAGGCCGGATGCAGCCTTTGCTACCGGGCAGCTGGCTAGGGTTGTCCAATGCCCTACTGAAGAGCAGGTAGCAGCTGGAGAGAGGGTGGCCAAGTACCTTGGCCAAACAGCAACTGTTGGACTGCAATACTCCGCGGCGGCACAAAGGCGTCAAAAGGGTGCGGATGGAGTCGAACCCGGGAGGCTCTTTCTCACCGCCTTCTCTGATGCATCTTGGGCATCAAAACCAGAGGATATGACAAGTGTGAGAGGCTTCATCTGCTCTGTTGGTGGAGGCCCAACAGCTTGGGAGAGCAAGAAACAAGTGGACCAAGCATTGAGCTCGGTGGAGTCCGAGTACATGGCACTCTTCCGTGCCATAAGAGAGGTTGTGTGGCCGCGGCGTTTGCTAGCTGAATTGGGGGAGGAGCAGCAAGGACCTACCCCACTCTACTGTGATAGCCAGGGTGCTATTGCATTGGCAAATAACCCCGTTCTTCATGGCCTTACCAAGCACATGAAGGTGAAATGGCATTGGGTGAGGAGCATGGTAACCGCGGGTGAAGTGGAGTTGCACTACGTGAAGACGACGGCGCAGCCTGCTGATATGATGACTAAGTGGCTGGTTGAGCAGCAGCATTGGAAGTGTTGCAAGCTTGCTGGGATGGCTCTGAACTAAGAGGAGCAGATTCTAAGGCCAACAATCCGAGGGGGAGTTTGTTGGTGCAACCCTATGGCTTGCACTCGGCTTGTCGTCCTTGTTTGTGTGTGTGCATGCATGGAATGAATTGTGAGTCTATGTCATTGCTATCCAGTGCTTGTGTGTGTGTTTGAATGGTGTATCACAATGTGGTTTGTGTCGGTCAAGACATTAGCGAGTTTGTGTCGGTCAACTCGCATGTCAAGTCGTCGTTTGTGTGTCACATGTGTTATTTCTATTTTGTCGAGTGTGAAGTGTCCATCGCGTCGCAGGTGTGTGCAGCAAGCCCCCATCAACTCAAGAAGAATTTATCTTGCAGATCCAAGACCAAGAGCTCAAGATTTCAAGCCCAAGGTACGCGGATAAATATTAAATAGTGAAAATAGTAACGCTACTTCGTGTAGTGTTACATTTCACTTGGTGTAGCCCCTTGGAGGGTTGGTTTCGAGACTCTTCATGGTTGGGGACTCTGTGGTAGTGTACCACCAACCTTGACCTCGGCTCATGGGGTATGTAGAGGCTGGGAACCATCTCCATCTCGAATTCTTCTTGCTAAGTTTGTACTTCCAAGACTATAGTGGCTGCTATACCTCCTGCCAGTCAAACCGCCATAGCGTCGTCAAATCTTCATGGAATTTTATGATTCAACTTGCTGCTGATAGGCGACAGCAACGCGCTCCAGATCAAATTTACAGATTTGCTTAAACCTCTCCCTTGCAGATTCGCTTTTCCGTTTCGGAGGCATCTCGAGGATACGACCAACCCAACACATCTCGAGCCATTTCAGAACCTCCTATAGTGGCACCGTCATCATCCACTACGCAGTCATCTGCTGCGCCTACACCCTTTACACCCGCTAAACGCAAGACATTCGATTAAGGTAACTTTAATGAGATTTGTTTGTCGATACGAACCGGTAATTATCTCTTCATGTTTTAACTTGACAACTTTCTTACGCTGAATACATTTTTTTTCCCCTCTCCGTTTTCTGATTTTTTTTTTTTTTCTTTTGTTGTGCCTTCTTGTGTCCACCAGTCTTTTCAGAATGTGTTATTTTCTTTTACGAAGACGACATGCCGATCTTGTTTTGCCGACTTACGTGCCTTAGCATACTATTTGGCAACTACTCATATTATGCATTAATGTCTACGCTCTGTGGGTGCGGCCATATGCTTGTTTATTTTATTACTTTAGTAATACATGTTTTGTGACTCACCAATATTGGTTTGAGCTTTTCATTTCAAGCAAGGTTCTTTGACGCTCTCCTCGAGTGCGGTCACTTGAACTGGAAGTGATAAGCCTAAATCATTATTTGGAAGTCACAAATATGTCTTTGTTGCACAATAGGCTTCCGATTTCCCCCACTTAGCTGGGGAAGCGATCGTTTATTTTTGTTTTTGACAAAAATATGCCACGAGAAATGCCCCAAAAATAAGGGGAAAAAAAAAACACAA